CTCGACATACTGAAGACCCGAGTTTGATTCCTAAAAGATGATATGTAAAGCCAAACCTAAGAATCCCCTCGTGATCATCACTTGCCTAGTGCTAAAAGCAACGTAACGTTAGACAGATCTCCATGTTTACGGAGGTTCTGGTAGCCTGGTGGTTAAAGCGTTCGCTCGTCATGCCGAAGACCCGACATGGGTACAATGTGTGAAGCCCATTTGTGGTGTCCCCCGCCATGATATTGCTGGAATATTGCTAAAAGCGGCGTAAAATCAAATTCACTCACTCCACGTTTACGTAATGATACACATTCGATGACATATCATGTCACCGTTGTATCGTCACAACGACAATGACATTTTCTAAAAAGAACAAAGATGGACTGTCATTATCCGATCCGACATGTTTTGGGGAACTTCAAGGTATTTTTTTAAGACGTGTTGTCAGCTATACAGAGTGGCGTCCCTTGTCCGTTCCAGGATCTTCTGTTTGTTGGTTCGGCTCCTCCATTTTCGCCGATTTCGATCTCAGTTCTGCTGGCATCATTTCCGTCCTTGTTGGTTTCAACAACGTGGGAAACCGTTACCACCTGTGACACATTAGCTTTCCTTGCACATTGAATGTATAAAATTGTTCAAAACTACGTAAAACCCTAATTCGTTCATTCACCCAATTCCACAAACTGAGATACCCAATAGGTCTCTTCCTGTTTGTCCAGCACCTATAAACCTACACGCAAACACCGGGGCACCCGTGAAGATCCGGGGTAGAATAGGTCTTCACCCATACTTTCCTTTAAAGGCGACTATGCTTGTCGTCAGAGGCGACCAAGGGGATCGGGTGGTCAGGCTCGCTGACTTGGTTGATCACATCATCGTATCCCAATTGCGTGGATCGATGCTCATGATGTCAATCACTGGATTGTCTGGTTCAGACTCGATTACTTACAGACCGCCGGGCCCGTGATGGTCCGGGGTAGAATAGCTCTTCAGCAACCCATGCTTGCCGTAAAAGGCGACTATGCTTGTCCTAAGAGACGACTAACGGGATCGGGGGGTCAGGCTCGCTGTTTTAGTTGATGCATGTCATCGTATCCCAATTGCGTGGATCGATGCTCATGATGTCAATCACTGGATTGTCTGGTTCAGACTCGATTACTTACAGACCGCCGGGCCCGTGATGGTCCGGGGTAGAATAGCTCTTCAGCAACCCATGCTTGCCGTAAAAGGCGACTATGCTTGTCCTAAGAGACGACTAACGGGATCGGGTGGTCAGGCTCGCTGTTTTAGTTGATGCATGTCATCGTATCCCAATTGCGTAGATCGTTGCTCATAATATCAGTCACTGGATTGTCTTGTCCAGACTCGATTGCTTACAGACCGCCGTCATTAACCTGGAATATTGCTGAGTGCGGCGTTAAACAACAAACAAACAATACAGACCGCCGTCATATACTGAAATTTTGCTGAATGCGGCGTTAAACACAAACAATCAAACAACAAACAGCGGAAATATCCCCTATCGAGGTGTTGGACAGGAAGGATGGCACGAACAACAGCCTACAGCATAGCGCAGTGTAGCACATCACCACGCGTCTGAAGTCATTCTGTGCCATCTGGCAGTGCACTCCGGGCGTGACCTTGGCCGTCTCTATTAGATGCTATCATCTACCTTGACACTGCTATATACACGAAGTGCTGGCACAGAAGGGTACGTAACGGTAGTTTGAAATGACAGCCGTTGACGATATGTATATGATTGATATTGAAATATGCACTCTGAGACACCGGCGATGTATATCGCCGACAGTTTTACGATAGGATGATGTTTTATGTCTGTGAGTTCCAACATATATCGTGAACTGTGCTTTATTAAAACAGTGAGTGAGTGAGTTTGATTTTACACCCTTTTTAGCAATATTCCAGCAATATCACGGCGGGGGACACCAGAGTGTAACTGTAACGTTGTCATGTACGTAAGAGGCGACTAACGGGATCGGGTTGTCAGGCTCGCTGACTTGATTTATGCAAATCCCAATCACTGAATTGTCTGGTCCAGGCTCTATTATTTACAGACCGCCGTCATATAGCTGGAATATTGTTGGAGTGCGGCGTTAAACAACAAACAACAACAACAACAACATACTACCGTCTCAAATACTCTTCAGAACATCACGTTTGTGAATGAGGGAGCTTGTTTTAACGCCGCATTGAACAGTATTTCAGTAATATCGCAGCGTGTCAGCTTGCTGTGGGAGGAAAACCCGAATTGATGTAGAGCTTACATGTTGACCACATTGGCGACACCCACGATAAAGAATACTGTGCTGGCAAACCAAGAAACGTAATCAGAGTGAACTGGGACTCGAACCCACGGTCACAGCTTTCAGGCAAGCCTAAAGAATATACCTCTGCACAGCGAACTGAGGTTAGACGTGTAGGCATTCGTGCCCTTTGTAACTAGTTGATTATTTAAAAAGATGTCTTTAACCACACTCATCAACATTACAGCTTTAGCACGATGGTCTGTAAATAGTCGAGTGTGGTTAATTCAAACCACAGGTTTATAACAAGGACAACAATCTCAACCGTATGATAACACACACACACACACACACACACACACACACACACACACACACACACACACACACACACACACACACACACACACACACCATGCGGTTTCAATGTGTAACCATGTGGACCACACAATCCGGTGAGTGACACCATGAGCATCGATCCACGCAGCTGGAATACAGTGACATGCAGTGCGCCTGACCACCCTCTTACGTAGTAGACGTAGTAGTAGGCGTAGTAGTAGACGTAGTAGAAGGGGTAGTGGTAGAAGTAGTAGTGGTAGTAGTAGTAGTAGGAGGAGGAGGAGGAGAAGGACAAGTAGTAGTAGCAGCAGCGGCGGTCGTAATAGTAGCAGCAGCGGTGATCGTAGTTATAGCCGCAGCGGTGATCGTAATAGTAGCACCGGCGGGGGTAGTAGTAATAGCAGCAGCGGTGATCGTAGTAGTAGCAGCAGCGGGGGTAGTAGTAGTAGCAGCAGCGGTGGTGGTAGTAGTAGTAGCAGCGGCGGTTGTAGTAGTAGCAGCAGCGGTGGTCGTAGTAGTAGCAGCAGCGGCGGCTGTAGTAGTAGCAACAGCGGCGGTTGTAGTAGTAGCAGCAGCGGTGGTGGTAGTAGCAGCAGCGGCGGTTGTAGTAGTAGTAGCAGCAGCGGCTGTCGTAGTAGTAGCAGCGGTGGTGGTAGTAGCAGCAGCGGCGGTTGTAGTAGCAGCAGCGGCGGTCGTAGTAGCAGAAGCGGCAGCGGTCGTAGTAGTAGCAGCAGCGGCGGTCGTAGTAGCAGAAGCGGCAGCGGTCGTAGTAGTAGCAGCAGCGGCGGTCGTAGTAGCAGAAGCGGCAGCGGTCGTAGTAGTAGCAGCACCGGTGGTCGTAGTAGCATAAGCGGCAGCGGTCGTAGTAGTAGCAGCGGCGGTCGTAGTAGCAGAAGCGGCCCTGTTCAAAGCCTAACGTTGTGCGAGACTGGACTTGGCACTGAGGGTGCGAGTGTGTATGCACTGGTTTAGTCACTACCATCTGTTGTTGATGCTGATGACAAAACAACACTAAGTCAAATTGGCTCTGTACAGTACGGCTCGTTACCAACAAGTACAACCAGCGCCGTTTTCTCAGGTATATTAGCCTATGTGTGGCCAGAAATAATACTCTGTTCATGTTTGTCTTGGCAGCTGCTTCCAACAAGTTTCCATTCCACAAAATACTCACGCACACGCATGTCGGGCGCACGAGAAACACGTTTTGATTGTTTCATAGTCACACTTGTATTTGCACATATATCTAGTTTCATCAACAAATCCAGTTTTAAATAAATGAAAAGTTTCCATGTGTCTGTTATGCATAATGAAGCCAGCAAAAGAGAGGGTTCATGTCTGAATAAATGTAGGCCCGGCACCTGCGGCAAGCACAGATTCATGTCAGTGCATCAGGGTTTTGTTTGTATGTTTGTTTGTTTGTTTGTTTAGCGCCGTACTCGGCAATATTCAAGCTATATAACGGCGGTCAGTAAATATTCGAGTCTTGACCAGACAATCCAGTGAGTGATATCATGAGCATCGATCCACGCAAATGGGATACGATGACATGCATCAGCCAATTGCAAGTAAGCGAGCCTGACCACCCGATCCCGTCAGTCGGAATATGCATAGTCGCCTTTCACAGAAGGCATGGATTGCTGAAGACCTATTCTAAACCGGATATTAATTGCATAGACTTAAATGTGACAGAAGGAGAATTAAACTAGTGTTTAAAGCTGCAGTCAGTTTTTATCCCAGCTGTGTCGAGGCGATCTGTAAATAATCGAGTCTAGGCCAGGCAAACCAGTGATTGAAAACATGAGTAAAGGTCAACGGGGCACGAAGACACACAACCCAAGGACTAAACCAACCCCCGATACTTCTTGTTGCCGGTATTTCAGTAATATGACGTCAGTCAGTTTGATATCATTTGAGGATAAGGCCAACATATGACACCTGAATGTGACACCCACGAGCACGTGCCTGATGCTGAAAACACAAACATCATAGCCGGGATGCATCTAAAGATTCAAACCCACATTAGCGGATCCTAGTAGCAAAGGGGCACAACTCTGTACAGTCACGACTATGACCTAGTCACAATGACGGTAGATTTATTTGAACCAAAACTGTTCTGACATATTGAATTGCTATGTCTGATATATTACTTTTCTCACAAGGGTTCACGGGTGGCCCAGTTGTGTATGGCGTCATAATTCTCTGTGCAGAGTAGCGTCCCTTATGTGTGCCAGGAACCAAAAGTATGATCGTGGGTTCGAATCTCAGATTCCCCTGATTATGCTTCTAGGTTTGTCAGCACAATACCCGTGTTCGACGGGTTCACTAATGAAAGCCGTGATATGAAGAAAATATCACACCAATGTGATCTTTAAAAAGGGCAATGTGAAGAAAAAGATAAATCACGCATTGCTTTGAAATTGCTTTTTATTTACATTTATCCTCTCTTACCTCACCCCTACTGCACAATCCGTCAATAAATTAGCTGAATATATTTTACAGTAGACATACACAGTGGTTTAACACAATGGCGATAAATAAGCAACATGCGGTACGTTTATCAGGTGTAACTGTTGCGACTTATATACAAATGAAAATGACATCTGACAAAAGAGCCCTCAATAAATTTCCCTGAATTTCCAAAAGGAACCGTAAATACCTGGAACAAATACATAACAATAACAATTAAGCGTTGAATACACAACACAAGTCTTCAAGCGTGTACACACAGTCGATGTGCAAGGTCGATAACTCGTTCAGCTTTCGTAGCCTCGTTCGGGATCCATGTATGACGTCAGTCGTTGACTGAGCCGCTATTGGCTGGCAGGCCTTGCTGTTGTCTCCAGCATGCCAGGCGATGGCGGAACCATCTCTGAAACAAACAAGTAGACATTAAGTACACAGAGTAGCAGCCATGAACTGCACACAGTGAAAACATATACCTAAATATAGGTCGTTTTTGGTTAGTTTGTTGTTCAACGCCGCACTCAGCAATATACCAGCATAACTGCGGTCTGTAAATAATCGGGTCTGGTCCAGATAAACTAGTGATTAACACCATGAGCATTGATCAACGCATTTCGGATATGATGAGATGCATCAACCAGGTCAGCGAACCTGATCACCGATCCCGTTAGTCGCCTCATACAACAAGCAGGGGTTGCTGAAACCAATTCTAAATGGATCTTCAGGTGATTACCATACCAAGGGACAGTACTCCGTGCCCCTTGTCCGTTTCGATTTCGGGGAAGCCTAGGGGTTACTTAAATATCCTTGTCCGATGCAATATCCTACTTAGACTTGAATAATATTTCCCCGTGTGATATTTTTGATGCAGACAATTCGCATGCGCCGCCGGAGTGGGGTTGGGGGATGGTGGGGTGGTACGCTCACCTTATTGCGAACACCTGGTGTCATCACTTTTTGATAGTCATTCACATAACATGTTCATGATATGGTCGGAGTTGCACGATGGACTCTGCTGTGTTAGGAAAGATTTCTCATTATCACGATAAGGGTTTTGTCGCTTATATTTACTTGTTGACAACATAGAATGCTACCAGATCTATTAAATACTTTATATTGGCCAAGATCGATTTCATGTAGGTATCATGTTTTATCATTAGCTTTGCTCATGTAAAGTATTTAGAAGTGAAGTCAAGCTGCCCCCTGTGCTTCAGTATACGTCATCAAAGTGATAGATCGAACATCATGGGTGAGCTCTTACACTTAGGGCTTTTTCCACTCACCGCTTGAAATATCAGTACATCCTTCCTAATGGTATAGACTGATGTCACACGTATTTTAATACTCTCGATATCATATGCAGATACTTTCTTACAAAGCCCGTGTAACACGGTCCCCTATCTGAATAAAATGTAGTATAGAACCCGTTTGACATCATACAATCTGAAATCTGATAGTTTTGAATAAAAAAGCCATAAAATGTATACCTTGTCTACGTGGGTCTTTTTCTCATGTGGAACTTCATTTAATAAAAATAATCTCAGATGTCTTTAGATACAAAATGTTACCATACGACCTTCATGAAGCTGTAACGCTTGTTAATATTGAACACATAGCTTGTATGTTTACACTATCAGTACATATATCAAGTACCGTTTGCCTGAGCAAGTCTATGGTAGACCTATCCGCTCTGGTCACTTTAAATGCAGCCACTGAAGCTATAAGAGATAGCCAAGATGACATACTGCAGATAACATTAATATATACTATCTGGTATCTGTCCAACATCCGCCATGGTAACCGTACATCACTCTGGTGGGAGGCAGTTTATCTCAAACGTGTCGTTTCAATGCATTAAGTCTCAATAACCGCTTCATTTACTGTCCTACAATTCTTGTCAAGGCGTCTTACACCGCAGCGTTTAGCGTCCATCAATGTGAACAAAATTCTCTGAAACGCATCATTTACGATGTAACAATGTAAATCAAATCCTTTGAAAACGAAAGGTTTACTCTTCTCCAATATGTATTAAATCTTCTGAGACGTCATTGTTAGCATTCACTTCATTGCGTGTGCTCGAATACAAGTTTCACCACACCGCTCTTTACTTTCACCGAAGTGAAAAATGTCTGCAATCTGCATCTCACTTCCGGCTTCCCTTCCCCGTTTAGCAAACACACCGTGAAATAAGAGACCGCCTCCGTGGCCTAGTGGATAGATTGTCTACCCCGAGAGCGGAGTGGTTCGATCTCCGGGAGCGTCATGTGAAAACTTAAGACGTGGTACTTGTTGTTACCCTGTCTTGTTACCCTTGTCATTAAGGGGATAACACGAGGACTGTCGGTTCAGGGTGAGTTTGCTGTGTTGGGTATTCATGTTAAATCAAGGCTTGGTGCCTCAGTAAGTTGGTACTATAAAACCGGCACTGGACTGGCACACATACACACACACACACACGCACGCACGCACGCACGATCGCACGCACGCACACACACACACACACGCACGCACGCACGCACGCACGTTAAACCCCATTTCATCACCACGTTAAAAGATGGTACTTGTTGTTACCCTGTCTGGCGCTCGGCATTACGGGGCTAAAACAAAAACTGGTCGGCTCGGAGTCAGTATACTGTGTCTGAGTGGGGTATTCATGTTAAACTGCGGCATGGTATCTCAGTGGGCTAGCACTATAAATTGGCACCAGTCCGGACTAGTACAAGAAGCCACACATGCATGCACGTCGCTGTATATGTGCAATAATCTTTGACGCGACGTTAAACCCCATTTCACCCCTACTCACCTCATCCCACCACTGACAAACATACAGTTCTACGCGTTGTAAAACCCAACTCACTACCCGATTCGACATGAAGTCTACCCCCCCCCCCCCCCCCCCCCCTCCCCCTGCTCCATCCCCCTCCCCTCCCCCGTCAAATTCGCTGCATCACGAAGGCGCGGTCGCGATCGCGTCTCCCGTGTTATAAATATCATGAGAATCGATCTCAAACGACTTTCGTGACCTAAACCGTATTCAGTCAGAACACAAAGACGGCATACAAATTTCACAGATCAATCGGGTATTCAAACATTGATGACGTAACATGCGTACCCCCTCGATACGGTGATAAATCACGACGCAGACATTGGCGTACCACTTGACAATATTTTATGAGCAATTAAACTCTTAGATCGTACCACCTGTTTATTGACATCGGAATGGACAGCGAGGGTAATATCATAACCCTACTTAAACATATTCTGTTTGGTGTTCGGGCGTGGTTCGTACGAGGGCGTGGGGCCTGGGCGTGAAGCTATGTAGGCGCTCTACAAACAAATCAACTATCACTTAGGGCCCAGCAAAGTTGTATACTAGGTCTCAGTGAATGAAATGTACCATGGGGCTGAGATGGTCGTTTTGAAAATTAGACATGATATATAGCGACAGTGAACAATTTTGTATGGACCTGTTGTAGTTATTAAACGACATTGGGTGAGTGAGTGAGTTGGGTTTAACGCCGCTAGTGGTGCAGCTATTTCACGGCGTGTCGGTATAGTTTGTGAGCGCTAAAGCGGTTCGGGTCTTGACGTTTACCACTTGTGTTTTGTTTGTTTGTTTGTTTGTTTGTTTCCTTTTTAACGCCGCACTCACCAGTATTCCAGCTTAATGACGGCGGTCTGTAACTATTCGAGTCTGGACCAGACAATCCAGTGATTGACATCATGAGCATCGATCCACGCAATGGGGATACGATGACATGCATCAACCAAGTCAGCGAGCCTGACCACCCGTTCCCTTTAGTCGCCTTTTACAGCAGGCATGGGTTGCTAAAGATCTATTCTAACCCGGATCTTTACGGGTCTCACCACAGGTTCAGAAGGCATCGGTGACTAGAGATACAATTTACCTCAGATTGTCTTAATTTGGAAATAGAGACTTCATCCAGTCACGTGGTGATGCTACGAGTATTCAATACAACACAGTGGCGTTACTTGTTTATCCCTCATCCGTAGGTTATAAATTGTAAAACATCCTGTGACATCTCCGACAGCCATGCATAATTATGATCTGTTAATCCTCAGTGTAAACCCATAAAACGACCCCCGAAGTGAAGCGTCCAGTTTACCCTGTACTTATCCTAACGTTAAACATCGCGGACATCACGTTTGATTAACGCCTGACAAGGGAGGTAATCAAGCAAGTGATGATTTTTCCGATAGACTGCAATGTACACCTGATTGAAAACTTGACAGTCATGACCCTTGACGATCGGGGTCAGCGTTCACAGGCCGCCATATCAACATCAGTGTTTCGTATGACGTATCCCTTACCTTCATCCCTGTTAACGGTGAAGGGGTTTAAGACAATTCGTTCCACTGTGGTATAGCACATGCTATGTAATACAGAAGCGTCAATTGCTATGCTACTCAATTTAATATAAGGATTGAGTCGAATTGCAGAGTCAGGGATCATGACTGTAACAAATAGATCATATGTTACGTACACAAATCTACAGGTATAGAAAATATTTCCCCGATTAGTATTTAATGACGTGTTTTTAATCATTAAGATTAACAAATCAGATCAAACCGAAAATATAAATATAATTACTCTTAATCTTTCATCTATCTATAATTTTAGAAATATCGTTTCATTCGTATAATAGGGCATGTATAGAAAAGGGCTAAAGGGGCTAAGGGCTTTATTTAAAGAGTCGTGTACTAGAATCGAAACAAAAGAGAAACGACCTTCTATTTCCAGCTTAAGGTTTGTTAAGTTCATTGTCGCTATTTTTCTCACCGCGAATAGTTATAAAACATGTACCCCTCACACCACCTCTCTCACTCACCTCCCCTACCCCACACCCACCCACCCCACCTCAACCCACCCATCAAACCCACCTCCACTCACTCACTTGTCCCTACCCGACTCGGTCTCCCCAAAACGAACACACTCACAAAACCGACTATAAAAGTGTGTGACGTGTGTGTGTGTGTGTGTGTGTGTGTGTGTGTGTGTGTGTGTGTGTGTGAGAGAGAGAGAGAGAGAGAGAGAGAGAGACAGAGAGACAGAGAGACAGAGACAGAGAGACGCAGTGACAAAGAAAGAGAGGGGCGAGTGGGGGAGAGAGAGAGAGGGGAAAAAGGATAATGTTTGTTATAGTGTCAAATGTTACATACACTTCACACTAAACACGTACACAAACAATACAATATAACATCCGACCAGGTATGGCCTACGAGACACTAAACATAAAATCATATACATAAAGTCATAGAACAATAGGTCGTACAGCATAGCAAAACGAAATGGTATATGCACGACAAATACTATGCAACAAACATCATTTACATCAATATCACATTGATACTACACAATTATAAAAAGTAGATCAATTTGATGTG